ACAAGTAGGTTGGAGGCCATCGCGAGCAGGTTGGAGGCCATCGCAAGTAGGCTCTAGGCCATCGCAAAAGTGGGTTGGAGGCCATCGCAAAAGTGGGCTGGAGGCCATCGCAAGTAGGTTGGAGGCCATCACAAGTAGGCTGGAGGCCATCGCGAGCAGGTTGGAGGCCATCATAAGTAGGTTGGAGGCCATCGCGAGCAGGTGGGAGGCCATCGCAAGTAGGCTGGAGGCCATCGCAAAAGTGGGTTGGAGGCATCACAAGTAGGTTGGAGGCCATCGCAAGTAGGTGTGCCCGAACTCCCAAGCTGACTAAGCCTAGGCAATTTTTTTTTGGAAGTATTTTGCTCGGCTTATCTTGGCTGTAACAAATGCACTTGTGCAAGAAAGACTGATTACTTTACGTGTACCGGACAAATGGTTGCGATTGCTACGGGCTTCTCAGATGAGGTCCTTAGTGGAAGCTGGTGAGAGAAGATTCAGACAGAAGTTAAGAAGGCAATCGCGGCTCTCTTTTGGTGGCCGAGTCTGAATTCAACTTTTGACCCTGCCCTGCCATTAAGCTGGCCGCTTTTCGGTGTTTCACTGCAAGACTAAGGTGCTTGAGACTAAGGTGCACTCGCCGCAGCACTTTCGGACCGAGCGAGTGCACAGGGCAAGGGAACAGAACAGAACAGGTTGCATTTTCTGTAGACACTCCTCCCCCTCTCCGTCCGTCCGCTCCTCCTCTGCTCCTCCTCCGCTCTGAGGAGTTGGTCGCCTGGGGCCGCGATCAGACCTTCACGGGCCTCACGCGTGGCACGCCGAGCCTCGGCGTCCGGTCGGGCCGGTGAGGGTGGTGGGGGAGGAGGATTTGACTGGAGGACTGGAGGATTTGACTGGATGAGTTGTGGTAAGTCCTTGGATCCTTTTTTCGTTTGGGAGGGGGAGAAGGATCGTTCGAGATTTGGTGGTGATGGTCGTGGGTCAGGACTCATGTGCGACTAGTGTACTGTTATTCTTACTTTTGGAAGGCGGCATAAACGAACCAATACACATACAAAACATTCAAATATAGATAAAAAAGTTCGTTCGATCGATAGATCGATAGACCGATAGATCGATAGATAGAAAGAAATAAAGAAAACATAGAACAATAAAGAAAGAAATAAATAAATAAAGAAATAAAGAAAGAAAGAAAGAAAGACAGAAAGAAAGAAAGAACAAACGAACGAAAGAAAGAAAAATACCTTCAGAATGTTGATACAACAGTCTTTGACCTTTACCAGACAATATGCAACATAGACATCAAGGGGGGTGGTGTATGGTGCTAGCCCAGGGCAGCTAAGCTGGACATGCAGCCCTCAACAGGGGATCCATTCGATATTCCTTCGATGGTGCGCACTGCTTTGAATGTCTCGTCATCTGAGGAAAGGCGCCAACACACCGCATGGATGGGGCTGCTTCGACCGCACTTCTTGATGCGTCACGGTAGGGACCGGAGACACGTCGTGCCCGGCCTTTTTTGCGGCTGGGCCGCGGAGCGCCGTACCGTTGGCTTTTCTGTTTTGACTGCGGGTCCTGTGTGATCTTGTTTTTGAGCGACATCACTGCGAAATCACTTGATCCCAGGTGTTCTGGAGCATCACGAGGGCTTCTTGCAAGCCTGTGCCATTTGGCGAGTGGCTCGGCACATTTTTTGCCTTGGGGGACATGAAGGCACACGTGGGCAGTCCACCATTCCCCATGTCCTCTGCACCAACTCAGCCGGACCAGGACCGGTTTTTTAGCCTCAAAACAGCACCGCTCCCAGGATGGTGTTGCGGATGGCCCTGGGATGTGGGCGAGCGTGGTGGACGGCAAAGAGCAGTGCCCTGGACCGGTGAGAGGGGTGTGGATGTGTTGTTTTCTTGGGTGTGTACTGAGTAAGTTAATTGTATGGATCATATGGATCTTGTACTGTCCTTGGGGGTCACATGGAGAGATACGAGCCATATGCAAATACTGACGTGGTGAACCACCCGGCCTGATTTCTTGTTGACCGACTTGTGTTGACTGAAGAAGCAGGAGACCCGCCGGATTTAAACCACAGGATTGGGCTCTTGCCCTTGGCGCCACCGTGGGGCAATGGGGGTTTGACGCACCGGACCTGGTTGCCAGTCGGGGCCTGAGGTGTGGCTATGGCACCTGGACAGAGGTGATGCTGGCAATGTGCTTTGGGTGGATAGTTCAAAACCCAGTTCCAGGCATATGTTTAACTTCAGTGGGTCAGAGTCGCAAGTTCTTTCTGACTCTCCAGGTTGCTACGTTAGCTCGTTTGTCAGTGAGCCACGGTGCCAGCATGTGTCGGCTAAGTCGCTAGCCGCTAGCTAGTTACTCAACATACATTCTTTTGCATGACAGTTCTGCAGCTTTGCCTGAAAGATTGATCCTTGAGACTTGAGACTGTTCAGCATTTCTTCTAGACTTGGTGGACCATGGCAGGGCAAGCGCCATGGCTACTTCGCTCTGGTCAAAGAAGGCCTGGCCTCGACTCTTTTTGCGCAGGTGGAAGCTGCCAACTGAGAGTGGCAAGCTTCATCAACTTGTGAAGATCGGGTCTGTTGCAAGCAGGTGAGCACTTTCAATTCGTGGGACGTTGACGGATCAGTTCTTTTTGTTTAATGCATGAATGACAGTTGGGAACCATGAAGATCTGTTCTGGGGCTTACAATATCAGGTTTCGTGCATCAACAGGATGTGAAGTGCATTGTGGCAGTCCTTGGGCATCCAGCGAGCACAGGTCTCTCTGGTTCAGCGTGCTAGAATCTCAAGCTTTAGGTTGTGTTGGACTGCCTGTGAGGCAAACGGCAAATGGTTGTGGGTCCAAAACTCCTCACCAGATCAGAGATCCACCAGTGGGTGCCTGTTCTGATCGGCGCAAGAGGCCGCTTTTCTTTCTTTCACCGGTTGGGTGTATGTGCGACAGGTGGCGTGTACCTGGAGGATTACGACCATGGAGAGCTGAAGAAGAGGATCAAGTGGAGACGAGACAAACTGCATGTGACCTGCGCAAGATGCTCCTTGTTTGCAGGAGTGAAAGGCATTTGTCCAGGTCCTCCCGAAAGCCAGCACGCCCGCACATCACGTTCACCCAAGAACAACATTCCTCTCGAATACTGTACGGGCATTTTCTCACGCGGCAGATCAGCCTCTTGATGCCTTTTGCTCTGTGTCCAAGCAGCGTCATGTGCGCACATCAGGTGGCTTGCTCTTCGTGCCATCGGCCAACACTTCAGAAGAAAAGTGCCAAGCTCAGCGATGCAGCCGAGAAGGAAACACATTCTGAGCAACTTTTAGATCTCTTCTCCTCAAAGGGCGTTCACTTTTCTATATATAACTATATATTATATCCCTTTAATGATTGCTGGTGCTCTCCAAAACATTGACCTGTATGTATATATATATATAAATATGGCAGGCCTTTGATTGATAGGGACCCCCCCAAAAAAAACCGGTTTAGAAGAGTGCCGGATCACCTGCCAAGCGGCGGGAGTCAGTATTGGTGCGGACGGAGCCAGGAGTGCCTCAATCCCCCTGCGGTTTCAGTGTGCACCAGCACGAATGAAGGCCCAGCTTAAGACCGTTACCAGATGGGGGTACTCAAGGAACTGTCCAACTTCGAGGGTCATGTGACATGTGTTCTTCGGAATCTCGAAATCAATGTTTTCCTGGAAAACGACCTCGGCCGAAGGTTCTGCCGCTTCCACTTGTCTAAGCCTGACTACGATGGGCGCTACTCCTGCTGTGGAGCCTTGCACGCTGTGAATCCACGGGGTGGCCTGGTGTGAATTGGTATAGTCCAAAGATGCTTGGTGGAGTCAGTGGTTGCGGTGCATCCAGAACTGTAGTTATATAACATGAAGCATCACCCACTTAGTAGCCCAAGGACAAGGGGACACTGCATCGCTCCGCATTTGTGTGTATGTATTTTATTGCATGTGTGTGTGTGCCCCTTGTAGTCACAGGGATTCGTTTGAATTGTTTTTCATTAGCAGGGGGCTGGAGTGTGCTTCAGATGTCTCCAGCCAGCGAAGACGCATCTGTCGCACAGTGATATAGTTCTGGGACGCCAGAACTACGTACCTGCCATTTTCAATCGGAATGGCACGAGGCTAAGCCCAGAACCTCACTTGCTGCAGACTTGAGCGATCGTCGTCATTTCGACTTGTTCGTCGCCTTCGACCTTACGCTTTTGGCCTCACTTCCTCTTACAGACCCCCCAGGTTCTTTAGGACTTTCCTGGACCTTTCAGGACTTGGGTTGCTTAGGCTGGCGTGTGGCACCGCTGTCAAGTCAGTACACATATCCATAAGTGTGTTTGGCCTCGTGCCAACCCGGGATGAGCCCGTAGAGTGCCTCCCGTGGACCCGTCGAACGGGGGTTTGTCCATGTTCCCCGGCTTTGGGAACGTAGATGTCCGCAGCGGACAGTAGCTGGCTCATGCCATCAGAACTCCGATTTTTGTCCCATTTTTGGAATTCCAAGTTGGCTCATGCCTTTACGTGACCGCAGCGGTCAGAGGTGGCCGCCCTCGGGCATGCCGTACGTGGTCGCAGCGACCGAAGCAATCTAGGGTCCGTTGGGACCCGTCGCCACCTCAGATGCACACACAGCATGTACATTTTCAACCAGGTTTGCATAGGTTTCTCTAATGAGGTTCGGCTTCATTGGTTCCCGTCCCCTCCATTTGTTTCCCCTTTTCACTCTTTCCCCTTCACACACCTCTTTCTCTTCTTTCTTTTCGTGTCTTCCCTTGCTTCATGTCCTTTCATCTCACTCCTTTCTTTCTTTTGCGCGCACAACGGTCTGGGCCTTAGTCTGTACGCGCACATCTACTTGCACACTCAGGTTTTAGGTCGCCCAGGTCTCGACAATGAGGTGGGCTTCATCGGTTGTCCCTGTGCACTTGGTTTCTCTTTCATCGCAACCACACACACTTTTGTCTCCGTCTCGTCCTCCTTCTCATGTCTTCACCCTTTTGTCCTTGAGGCGCGCACATTTGCACTTTCGTCCTAGCCTTAATTTTTGCCTCCCTTTGGGGAGGCGTGTGTGTGTGTGTGTGTGTGTGTGCCCCTTGTAGTCACAGGGATTCGTTTGAATTGTTTTTCATTAGCAGGGGGCTGGAGTGTGCTTCAGATGTCTCCAGCCAACGAAGACGCATCTGTCGCACAGTGATATAGTTCTGGGACGCCAGAACTATGTACCTGCCATTTTCAATCGGAATGGCACGAGGCTAAGCCCAGAACCTCACTTGCTGCAGACTTGAGCGATCGTCGTCATTTCGACTTGTTCGTCGCCTTCGACCTTACGCTTTTGGCCTCACTTCCTCTTACAGACCCCCCAGGTTCTTTAGGACTTTCCTGGACCTTTCAGGATTTGGGTTTCTTAGGCTGGCGTGTGGCACCGCTGTCAAGTCAGTACACATATCCATAAGTGTGTGTTATTTTTTGGTGCCGCTGTACACTGTACGAGTTGCCACCCAGACCCCCACCGGATGTGCCCGTTGGGGTCTCCCGGATGTGCCGTGCGTCCGTTGGGATGGTCAAACCGACCTCAGGCTGCGCCACGTCCACACATGTGGAGCCCGAGCTGGAAGGCGGTGGGTCGAATGGGCGGGACAGGTGCCCGAATGGGAGACGCGTCACGTGTTGATAAGCGTTGGGCCACCACACAGATAGAGATGGCGGATGAGTCTAAGACACGGGTATGTATAGATTCTAGATGGTTTTCCAATTTGGGAATCTAGCTGATTGATTTGGGAGTTTGAGCCAGGGATGGCCAATACAGGCCAATACTCAATAGTTTTCTTTCTCGTAGTGAGCTAAGCTTTCTTTAGATTCTAGTGGTTCACCCTATCGTTGGGGGGACACTTCTCGAAGCATCCTGTTGGCTTCTTGGGCACACATGTCGCACACTGCCAAGAAACTCACATCAAACTCCCTTCCATTTGGGCTTGTGTGGTCCACACGATGAAGGCACTGCAGCCGTGGGAGTGCATCTAGCGGCTCTTGACCTCAAGGGTGCGCATGTTTTTTTTTGTGCATTCGCCACGGGCAGGTCTCGTCGATGGACAAAACTGGTGAGGGCATATTCTCCTGCTACTACTATTTGCTACTGCTATTCAACTTTGGGTACCTATCAGCCTATCGGCATGTTGACATGCAGGGTAGGAGTTGCAATGGGCAAGTGATCTTTTTCTTTCTGTGGAATCTGTAGTGGAACCCAGCAATGGCTCTTTTGTGGGGGAGTCCTTTTGGAATGGCCACTGACTCAGCATCCGCAGACTGCTCTGAGGCATCATTCACCGCGCTACGCTGCTACATATAGATATCCGCCCAACCCCAACAGTGAAAGAGAAACCCAACACCTGTGGACTGGGCCCTTGGATCTTGGGGGGGCCTGGCCTTACTACTAGGAGCAAGAAGCTACGAACGTAGCGGAGCCTTCACCTCCGAAAGCGCTGCCGCCCTTCGACTGTTTGCCTTCAGATGACGCGACGAGCCGGTGACGCGCCGCGTGACGCGTCGCGAGCCGGCAGCCTTCAGGGGGGCGACAAAGCTCGTTCCGCCCTGAAGGGTGGCGGCGGGGGACACCGGCGGGGTGAACCGATGCCGTGAGTGAAAACGCGGCGGGTGTGGAGAGGCCGCTGTCGGACGTGGTGAGCTGGCTTGAGGGGAAACAATCTTTCAATTTAACAAACATACGAAAAGTTAATAATCAAATGACACACACACACACATATATATATATAGATATAACATAATAACATATGTGATGTACAAACAATATGGATTCAATAGTATATCAATTAAGTACAAATTACTATTATGGATCATTATGGACTGTTATTTGGCTTGAGCCGTTGACTTGTTCTGGTGATGAGTTCTGGCCAGGCCAGGGGGTAGGTGGATAGATGAGTTGGGACTGGTAGATTTCTGAGGAAGTTGGAACAACATGAAGCACATAGTGCATGTGTTAAATCGTGGATGGGCGACTACAGCTTGCCAGGGTGCCTGTCATACAACCTATCAACATGGCCATCGTATGTTAGCCTTAGCTGCCTCAGCTGTTAGCCCTTTTTTTTCCTCTCAGGTATGCCCAAGCATCTCCACTGATAAAGTGGTTCAGAGTACTCATGTTGCTTTGGCCACATAGTTGTCAACGACGAGCTGGGTGACTCCAAGTCCTGTGGTAAAGGACTTGTCTTTTCGGGTGGGACTCGGGACTTCTCTTCACTTTCGAGTTCCTTTGTTTTCCCTCAGTGCGGCTGGGTGAGAGGTTTAACCGCCACATTTGCAGCACACAGTATTGCCCCAATGGTGGGATGCCCTGAGCCAATCTCTGGACTCAGCCTTCCCAACACAGTGCGATTCTTTTTGCACACCCACCACGCATGGGCATCGCGAAAACGCAAAGTCCAAAAGATGTTTGCTTCATACCGGGGAAGGCAACCAAGCAGTGCCACGAGGGTGGAGCCTGTGCAGGCGACTGGGTGTCCAGACACTTTGCCGTCCGTTTTTCCGAACACCTTTCGAACCTCGTGACCGGTCGCCCGCGTGGAGACTGAAGGGCGCCGGTCGCCCGGCCAACCTGGCTCAAACAAGTGCTGGAGCAGGGGGGGAGGCACACGGGAGCTTGGAAGCTTCAAAGAGAGGGTTCCAAGAGCATAGGCCAGCCAATCAAGGAAGAAAGCAGGAGAGAATTAGACCAAATCCAATGGCATACCTGCTTTAGAACATGCCCATTTGACCAATCATCGCAGCTACTTCACGGCTGTGTGTGGTTCCTGATCTCTGCGATAGATGATCACTTTCTCCGATCAGGTAGGTGACGCCTTGATGATCCGGCCCTGAGGCCGCTTCTGACAGAGCGGAATGAATCAGCAGATGGGTTTTGGAAGATTGGGAAGGGCCTGGAAGGCAGCACCCCTCATCCATGAGATTCTGCAAGGTTTCCGATTGATGGGAACGATGGATCAGCAAACACGATCTTCCTTTCCGAAAGGTTCATTATGTGGGTGCACAAAAGGCCGCCGAAATGCCCGACAAGTTAACTGAGGCAACAACAGGCACAGCGCAATAGAGAAAAGGAACATGTGTATGCTATATATGAATATATAGGTATACAGTAGTGCCAGAATAGATGGCACAACCCCCAAGAGGATTTTCAGATCATATTTTAGTGACTGGGAAATATTTATGTATATTTAATTTGACTTCTCTAGCCTCGCGGAGCAAAAAATACTCCAGGATTGGCCCAGCATTGGCCAATTCCTCGACCGACACGCCTTGTCAGGCACCACCCCTTTGAGGAAGGAGGGGAGGACGTTTGCCAAAAGCCTACTTGCATGGGGTCTCCATTCTCGCTTCGAAGATGTAGCTGGCAGTGTGTGGATGTTCATGCCAATCTCAAATACAAGAGAGATTTTTCGCAGCCGGAAAGCAGAAAAGGCAAGAAACACTATAGAGTACAGAGACCGCATCTCTCTGCCACTTGCACCTGATGCACTTCGGCATTTCTCCTGTATTTTCACAGCCAACGGCGTTGAGACAGTGGAAAGTGCTTTGGAAAGGCTTGTCTTCTATGACTGCGAAAGCCATAAGGTTACCAGTTGGAAACACTAGGCCAAGCTGTTGCCGCGGATGAAGGCAGTCACTCATCAAGCAAGCATGATTTGTGGTTGTGCTTTGGTTGTCATGTGGCTTCCTTGTGGGGTCCTTGTGAACATGCCTACGCCTGTATGGAATACGAGTGCCAATCAAGTGGTACATCAATGCTTGCACCAAAGCAAAGGGGTCGACCTCCCAAAAGGCAAAGCCACCAATTCTTGCCTGTATTGGTCAGATCGCCCTGCCACCCACTCAGGCACTGCCGGGCCAACTTTTTTCAGCTTGATCATTGATCATCTTCAACTGTATCCTCGGATGGTTCTGTGTTGCGTGCATTCTTGCGGTCCGCTGGCTGGTCTGGGCCACCTCGTTCCCGCCATGTCCAAGTAGAGCGTCAAGATGGAGCCCTTGCGTCAGTCAGCTTGGACTTGGCGATCCCCATGTTTTGTTCCAAATGTCCGTCCGTGAGTCGCAAAGTTTGATGACAGCATTGCAGAATGGACGCTGCTCAGCTAGGATCCTCGCTCAATGTCATGTTGTGTCGCATTTGTGCAAGCCGTTTACTGTGAGGTGCTTGCTGCAGGAATCGTGCCAGCCTTTATTTGCAGCTTTCAACTGTTTGCCAACAACCCTTACTCCCATGCACCCCATGCTCCAAAGAACTTACACACTTGAGACTTGAGACCTTTCTTGTTTTGGGCATCAGAGCTTTGCTGCCTGACACTTGTGCAAGCTATGTAGTGTGAGGTGCCTGCGCGGTCTTCACCACTTGGTCGATGATTCATGCCTACCCTTAACGTTCTCCGTGCCTGGACTTGTTTCTGTTACTGGTAGACATGCGTGCCCTCCAATGAGACTAGGCAGAGAAAGCGGAGCAGCCCTGCATTTCCAGTGGCAAAAGCCGTCCGGCGCTCAGCTCTATGCTTTGTCAACATGTTGCATTTCATGCATGCCCAGGCCGTCCATGAGCCCCATGCCCCAGTTATGAACGACTTCGGGCTTGAGACATTTTTTTCTGCGCCGGAAATATCGGGCAGGCAGGAGTCGCCCCTTGACGCAACGATTCACTTGCAACGTGCTTGTTGCAGAGATTTTTCTCTTGGCTACTGGTAAGCTAGCTACATTTACACCCCCGAGAAACGCAGCAGCTCTGCATCTCAAGTGGCCAAACCCGTCCTACACCGACACTCAGCTCTACGCTTTCTTAACAGCTTCCTATTCACACGTCCAGGCCCCTCAGCCCCATGAGCCCCACGCCCGAGCATGACCTTAGGGCTTGAGACCTTTCCTTTTCAAATTCTACAGCGCCGTTTACAATCTCTCAGTCGACGTTACTTGCAACAGAGGCTTTTCTTCTGGATGCTGGGAAGCAAGGGACGCGCCCGTCCGTCAAATAGATTAGGAAGAGAAACGTGGCAGCTCTGCATCTCACGTGGCCACAGCTGTCCAACGCTCATCTCCACGCTTTCTTAACATGTTGCTGTCCTCCTTGCACCTTGAGGCCAGCAACTCTGCCTACTACAGTCTTGGAGCCGGCGTGGCTCTTGCGGTGGCTGGACACCTAGCGCTACACATTCTGCTTAGCAGCGCGCGCTCAAACAGTCGCGACGCAATTCACAACGCAGGAAAAAGTCACAACTAAGAAAAAGAAGCCAAAAAAAGGTGATTTGAGCATATCATTGGATATACTATGATATACTGTATTTCATGTATTTCATATATCCTTCGCAGTTCCTTGGTCATTCGGAAATCCTTATGCAAGTGTGTATCGCTGAAGCGTGCGTGTGCAAAAGCGCGCGAGTCATGTAACCTGCAGAACCACAACGGTGGATGCTAAGGGCCACCAGGCTTTTGCCCCCTCATCCCACCCAGCCCGCCCACCATCTCCGGGCGAACAACTGCAGTCCTTCGGCACTTTGGAACGGACATCGCTGCGCAGTGTCTATCACTCAAGTGTCCACATGTCATGAAACCTTAAAAGCCCACAACGGTGGATTCCACAAAGCCACCAGGCTTTGGCCATCTCATCGCCTCCAACATGGTGCCACCGGGCGCTACCCATCTTGACATTGACTGTGCGCGCGTTTGTAAGCTGGCGTACGCTCACGTGTGTGCAACATCTCCAACTGCAAGAGCCCACAAATGCTGTGCAAAACGCGTAATGGTGGATGATAAGGGCCACCAGGCTTTTGCCATCTCATTTCTTCCAACCAATTGAATTTAATCCAAATCAGTTCGGAAAGACTTCTCAAAAATTTACACGCACTACAGTGAAGTTCAAAGGAAGTCAATATAGAAACATTAGAGACCAAAAAAGTGGCTTCAAATCAATGAAGCAGTATTAAAATCAGTTCGGTTCAGTTAAAGTCATTGAAACGCAACCGAAATCTATTCACGCCCAGAAAAACGAAGAAAACAAGAAAAACAAAGCAACGCCATGAGAGAAAGCACGCAAAGACAGCGTGCGAAGGAGACCACAACTACCAGAGCAAGTCAATGAGTGTTTATGTGAATGAGCGAGTCAGCGAGCGCTGAAAGGAAACTCAATACTATTTTTGCTTCTGCAAATGAAAAGAAACTTCAAACGCCAATTTCAAGGACACTTTAATTTTCAACTAATTCAACAGGAGTTCAGAAGGAAACCCAGCAGGAATTCAAAAGGACACCCAGCAGGAAACTGCAAGTGAAAATTGACAGGAACTTCAAGGACATTTAAACAAGACATTTTGAAGGAACACACAAATGAAATTTTATAGGACACCTAACCAATAAAAAATTTAAGCGCCGTTTAAAAGGCAACCTGCAGGGAATTGTAACAGGAAAGTTTTAAGGAACTTAAACGGACATTTAAATGTACATTGTTTATTACAAAAGAAATTTGAAGGGAAATTAAGAGGAACTTAGCAAAATATGCAAGAAGATATGAAAGGACATTTGGAGTACATTTAACCAAGTTGAGCAGCATATTGAAAAGGACATTTTTAGAAGAACGTTTAAACAGAAATGTAAAAAGGACATGGCAAAAAGGACATTTAAATGTAAAGGACATTTCGATGGACAGTTAAACAACTTGAAAACACCTAAGCATGACTTCAGAAACTTTAAGAGGACATCCCCCAGGAAACATTCAAGGACAACATTTAAACACACATTTTCAGGACACTTCAAGAGCCACTTTAAGAGTATTCCTTCAAAGAAATGCAAACGGACATTGAAAGGATTTTTCAACATAACAATAAAATACACCCATGAGAAATAATTAAACACATATATTTTTACAACTCGGAAGACTAAAGCCATCCCCCAGGAAACAACATAGATTTTAAACCATATACCGTAAAAATCCGCAGCCTTTTTAAGGTGGGAGTCTGTACACCTTTTGGGGATTGTGCCACCTACTTTCTGAAACCATTAAATAGATATATTTGCGCATCAAAAGTACAATATATGTTCCTTTTGTGTACGTAGCAATAGATCGACGCGCTTTCTGGGAGGGTCTTGGGGTGCTCAGTGATCCCAGCTTTCAGGGGAAGCAACTCAAGACCAGGACTGTTCAGTTCCTTTGCACGGATTTTGGAAGACCGACATCTCCTTCCGCAGCTGCTCAGACGGTGGCTCTTGACCCATGCTGCTCTCAGCATGAGTTTGCATGAGCTTTAGTCCGGGTCGGCCTGAGCAGGCAGGGAAGGGCAAGTCATGCCACTTTTGCACAACAAAAGCCTGAGGATGCCCGAGGTTAAGTAGGCAACTGCCAATTCTTTTGTCAAACTGAACATCTCCCACGCCAATATTTTCTTAGATGATGCGAATGTTCACCCACTTTTCTGAAGGTCAGGTCTATGCTTCCACCTTTTCAAGCCTGTTCGGGCATTTTGTGGGACCGTTCTCTCAGGTCCCGTCATCGAAGGGCTTCGAGCACCTGGAGCACCAGGATTCGACACAGCTCCGACGCTTCGTGGAGCGCCTGGCGAAGGTCTTGGACGGGCAGATTTTGAGTCAAAAGCAGCTGAGCGCCTTCGTGGAGTGGTTCGCGCGCAGAGGCCCTACAAAAAAGGCAGGGAGGGGAGGGGATGAGGACGGGGACTGGGAGGTGGGAGAGGCGACCGGGGATGGAGAAGCGATCGTTTCGATAGATCTACAGGAGGATGTGGGAGTGAAGGTGCGTTGAGGGGTCGAAATTTGGGAGGGATGGCGCTCGTGTTTAGACGATTTGTTTGCAAGAAAACATTGGAAGGTCACAAGTTTTGTTCCTGGAATTGGGTTCCAAGGCAAGATATACCAAAAAAATAGAACCATATTTTATTGTATAAAATTACATTTCTATTTTTTTAACATTTTTTCTATTTTTTCGGAGATGGCAAGTGTTGTATACGGTATATAGATATAATAGAATATGCAAGCATTAGGCGAGGGATATGAGGTGATGATCATCCAGTGGTAGCTTAGGTGAACTGTGAGCTTCGATGATCCTGATTGCAAAATAGTGCATAGCAGATTTCTCTATACTTTCATAATATAAGGACAGTCACAACTTGAGGCCGTACTGATCCAACACGATCAAAGCAATTGATCCTCCAAAACCACCAGATTGGAGATCGGCACCAGAGGAGTTTCCCAATCATTTCTCAGCAAAACCAGGTGGGTTCCATGTGTTTGACTTGAAGGCACACCCTTCCACCCCAGCACCGGGAGAGCTTGAGGGTGACTTCGAGAGCTTCAAGAACTTGCTTCGTGAACAGACTTGGATCCTCTGGCATGCGGAGAGTCTCCCGCAGCAGCGGTGGAAGCTCCGGCGCTATGGCAATGAGACCACCCACGAGATTGGTGCCACTGCGATCGGCCCGGCGAGCACGGCGAGCAGGGCGAGCGCCAAGCGCCAGGAGCAGTGGCTGCGCAGTTGGCGAAAGCGGAGGCCGCCATCAACGGATGAGCTGATGGCAAGCTTGGAGGCTGGTGATCGCAGTGTGGACATGAACATGAGCACACGAAAATCCCCTCAACGTGAAGCTATGTTTACCACTCTCGGATGCGGTGATCATCAACAAATCATTGGGTTAAAATAATACATTTTTTCCAGTTATCTTTACGTGCATATACTTCGAGGATTGTGTTCCTTGTATGGCCCCGCGGAAGACCTTCCTACCAGGAAGCCTCCGCAGAGTTCAGCCCGCTCGAAGCTCGCTCGAAGCGTGCACCAGGCACTGGAGGGGAATAGCCCAGTGGAGGGGATCCCGGTGGAGCTCCAAGCGAAGAGGCATCCGTTGACCGAGGCGGGGTATCAGCAGGCCATGGAGAACTACACGGACCTCTGCGTTTTCATCCAGGAGGGTGCTTTTGGGTCCAAACGCCCTTCTTGCAGGGGGTGCGGGATGAAGCTGCTCCTGAAGCTGACCATGTTCAAAATCGCAAGGTTGCTTGGGGTCAACCCCGCTGGCCAGTTTGTATAATCAGTTATGACATGTAGGCAATGTAGGCTCATGGGACCCGTGTGCCCAAGGTCCTAAGATCAATGTACAGGAATGGAGCAACGCTCTTCCTCCTCCCCGCCGCATGCCCAGAGCAGTGCCCAGAGCACATTTTCGGCCCATGCATCAGGAGCTGCTGTGCCAGATGGGGGGCAAGATCCTGCGGAAAGGGCAGCTGATGCCTTTTACCTTTTGGTATGCACGCCTTGGCTGGAAGACCTATGCCTCATGGCTTCGACTTCAACAGTTCGTTCTGTAGTGCGGTGCGATGTATGATTGGGAGGATTGTTGCAGCAATGAGTTTTGCTGCAAAGAGGGGGTCAGGGCTCACCCGTTTGTGGCACTCCGATGCTGAACACCTGTGCAATCTTGGGACCACCCGAACTGCACAAGGCTGAACGGTTCCCCTTGGGAAAGGATATTAAGGCTTCCCCTCATACATGCCAGTACACGAGCAAGGAGATCTTGCCCGAAGATCCTGATTCCTAGATGGTCACTTTTGGGTCAGATTTATTCTTGTTCCTTCTGTGACCTCCCCATGGTCGGCATGTTTCGGCATGCCGACCGTCAAGCTGATCCGACTCCGCAAAGGGCGACTGTTTGGCGCCCCCAGGCAGGTCTTGATGGATTGCTGGAAGTCCTGTTGCAGCAGACCTGGCTCCTTTGGCCAGAGGAAAGCTCGAGCGTGCAGGCGTGCGGGGTTTGGGGGCGAAGGCGGTGTGCGTGGGCGAAGTGGAGTAGACGAAAAGGTCAACAGAAAGCCTTAAACTCATCTACACGTGAGTTTCAGGTAGCAAAGGGGGTTTGTGCAGGGAAGCAGGAAGCAGAGTGCTTTTGGAATCACTTGAAACATCTCCCGTCTCTTTTTGGCAACTGAGATGAGGTCCTTCAAACCGGTGCCCTTTGTTCCTCTCCCTCTCGCCCCAGTTCCTCTCAGGTGTGGAAGGGCCGCATCTCCCTCCGGCGCATGGCGAAGCGCCGGAGGAGCCCCAAGTGGTTCCTCGCGCGGTCGGGCCGTTTCGAGGGGAAGCAGCTGGTGAAGTTCTTTGGAGCGAAGTATGTGGAGCCGCAACTCGGATTTGGGAGTTTGGATAAAAGCGATGTGGAAAGAAGACAGCAACAACGGGACCGGGTTGCACATGGTTGAAGCCTCCTCAAGTTCATAGGCTTTAGAGTATTTGTTTGATTATTTTTGATTGCTTTCGTGTTTTTTTTTGCTTGTGGCCAATGTTGTTTCAATCGCATTAATTATGAATTACTTTTTCCCCTTCAGCTATTGCACGCTGATTCGAAAGTGGATAGCTCACCCCGACTTAGAAGTGAGGAGTATGATTTTACTTTCCAAGAGGATTTGGAATCTCCTTCGTCAGGTTAGTGCAACATGGCCCGAATAGTTTGCCGGGCTTTCTGCATATTGAATATTGGACGCATCCGAAGCTACAAGTGAGGCTTTTTGTATAGAGTATAGATGTAACAACTCACGGATCCCGATCAAGAGAGTGTGAAACATTATAGCTGCTCAATCCCTGCCAGGAAAGAGTTTGGCCGCTTGCTGCTCTATGCACGGCGGAGTCTGCTGATGACCTCTGAAATCTTGGGCTTGGCTGTGCGACGCTTGGGGCGCATGAGAATGTGGCAAGTGGCCTTCTTGCTGCTCAATTCGGTGTGCAAGGCAGAACTTCAAGTTGATAAACAATAAAAATACCCAAAGAAACAAAAGCAACACATACACTTTTTTGGGTCATTACTAGTCATTATTACTTTTCTTTTGGGGGGTTCCTGTGCAAGGCAGAACTTCAAGTTGATACGGCCCCCTATGTGTCGGCCGTGGATGCTTGCCGGACGATCGAGCGTTGGGACCTGGCATTGGAGTGGTTGACAGCTGCCAAGCAGCAGAACTTGCCAGCGACCAATGTGAGTAATGCAGCGAGTGCGGCCATTTTAAGGTGTCGAGGTCAAGCAGGCTGGCCACAAATGCTTCAGCTGCTGATGAAGCTCCTGGATGTCCCACCTTCTGCAGATCAAATCAGCTTTGGGACGGTCTTGTCTGCCTGCAGCGAGTCGCAGAGTTGGGAACTGGCGATCCAGCTGGTCCAGCTGATGCAAGCCTCGCAGGCGCGAGCTTGGACTCCACGTGCAGATGGGAGTCAATGGGGTCAAAATCCTTTCAAAACCCATGGGTTCCAACCCGGCATAAGCTACACTGATATGACTCTGACACACACACACACACATATATATATATAAATATTTATTTATTTTAGATATAGCAATGTTGGTATATACCACATAACTCATCGGTAGAAAACCCCATGCCCACCTCAATCTTATTTGGATGTTCGATGGGAAATGTGGACTTGATCCACAAACCTTTGGCTTGGGACCAGGCTGTTTAATCCGAGCAAGGACGACATTGGTGCACGCGTTTCGGTTTTGTTCTGACGAACGTTTGAGCTACCCTGTCCGCTTCCGCTTACTCAAAGCGGCTGAACAATCGATCCGAATGGTGGGAAGTGTCCAGCTGGGACCGGTCGAACCAACGTCCCAGGTTTTGCCCGATCTCGTCCCATTGGCCTCTGCTGCCACCGCTTGCAATCGAGCTGACACGATGTTCGCCTGGCGCTGGTCCTTGCATCTCTTCACCTTGGCGCGCTGGGTGGGGCACACGCCGAATCTGCGGCTGCACAACTGCGCCATCTCCGCTGCCAGCCGTCTTCCTGGTGGCTTGCAGCGGTGTTTGGCATTTGTTTCTGACGTGTTTGTTGGTTGCTACTTTTGAAGCCTGCTGTAGAACCTCACGAACCGATGGGCCATGTCGCGACGTTTATTCTTTAAAGGTTTGGTTTGTTTTTGGTCCATGCGTTGTTTTACTACACCATTTCGTATACATATTTACCCACCTCCCGAAGCACTGCATTTGAGGTGGGAACTGGCCCTTAGCTATGTTGCAGCTTCAAGAGATCTTTGAGGCACGCTTGCAAGCTGACCGTGTGTCCTTTTCAACCGCTTGCGCTGCGTGCCAGAGATCCGCGGCGGTGGATCAAGCCTTCCGGTTGCTAAAGGACGGAAATCTTGGAATATCTTGGAGAGCGAAACCGCCGACCAAATAACCAGATAATTTTGGGCAGTTGATAAGGTTGTTGATGATTATCCTCTGATCAGGGGGGGGCCTGTGTCTAGCCAAGTGTGTATTCTTGGGCGGAACGGCGGGAACGAGCCCCTCCCAACTCCAGAATTTCTTTTCAGCACCACATGCTGCAGGAGCTCCCTAAATCCAAGGTGCAGGCCTGCGCTCTCTTCTACAGCACGCTGGTCATGACGGGGGTCAAGGTGCTGCGGTGGCAGGAGGCAGCGGCCTACTTGCCTCAATTGAAATCCAGCATGAAGACCAGAGAAGCCTTCTTGGGATCCATGGCCGCCCGGCGCGGAACCCTTCACCGTTTTAAAGCAGTTTTATGGTGAACGTTGGAACGATTGGTTGGAAGGACCTCCCCGTAGGACGGGGTCATACACTCGGGATACACCGACCAGAACCCAAAAGGTTCACCCAAAATTCTGGTGGATGGTGAACGCTGCACGGTTGATTGAGGAATGACGACCGAGTCGCGAGTCGCGGAAAAAAGGGGGTCTCTTCATGAGGGCAGGTCGGGCACGACCTTCGTGCCGGAACCACCTCCACGCATCCCGCGTGGCCGGAGCCAGCCTTCCTCCGGGTCTTGGTCCTCAGGTCCTGGGGCGACAGTGGCGCGAGGCAGCGCTTCTCTTCACTTATCGTTGGCCTTTTCGCTTCTCTTCCTTCCAGGGCCACCGGCCCTTAGCACGGAGGTCGGACCTGGTTCCTGCCCTACAGGTGTGCCGCGAGACGGGCTCCATCACGGAGGTGCCTGGGCACAAACAGCGGAACGATGCCGAGCAGCTTTGGATTCATGAATTAGGTGTCCACTCAACTTCCAGCGACAACAGACTCTGTTCCTTTTGGTCCTCCTATCTACTTCTCACCACCAACTGGGCCTCATCCGCTGGTTCCCCCCGCTCCGTTTTCCGCCCTTTCGACGCCGCCTTCGCCCACCGAGGCCCTGGCGCTGCTGCGCAGCGTGCGCGCGCGAGCGTGGCGGATCGATGCCCAGACGCAGGCGACGGCCCTGCAGTCCTGCCGCCGGACGAGCGCCTGGGCGGACGCGCTGCCGCTCGGTTGCGGTGCGTCCGCGGCGGTCGGCGGCGGCGGGCGGACCGGGCGAGGCATTTGCAGGGTGCGGAGTCTCCAGGGAGGAGAGGGCTGTCAAACGACGTAGGCGCTGAGGCATTGGGACCCATAGCTGCCAACAAGCTATGAAATGCTTATAGTATCAACCTGGCACCCCAAAAATGATCAAGTAAGGGCCCCAGGGCCCATAATTTTTAATTGCGGACCTCGGGTGGTATAATTGGTGGACCCTTTAAATGTAGACTTTCCACTGCTTCGCTTTTCGCTTTGCTTTTGCCATCCCTGGTAGTGAGAGAATCTTGAGCAGTTCTTGTCGAAGTCGGGACAAGGGCCACGCTGCAGCCCATTCCGGTGGCAGCGATATGCGGCCCAACCTCAGCATTTTTAGCAAATCCATTTTAGTGATCCTGAAATGTTCTATGGCCCTATGGCAAGATTGGAATGTCCTACGGCCGATCTGAAACAACATTGCGCATACTTCATGCCCCATCGAAGCAATCAATCGCTTGCCAACAGATTTGGTCCAGTCTTGCTTGCAAAGCACTGTGTCACCAAATTCATTTCTCAATTGCTCCTCTCCACTTTCAAAGCACTTTTGTTTGCCAAAGCATTTTTTTGACGAATCTTTTCCTCTGAGTGGTTTATCTGCTTTCACAGCTCTTCTGTTCACCAGGCTGTGAATTGCTTTCCGCAACCAGCTTTGCCTTCCAGGCACTTTGTGCTATGTGTTTCTCAATTGAAGTGTCCCCATGTGTCTCAATGACTTTCAACGACCAGTCGGGAGCGGTCAGCGTCCCGATCCAAGTTGCCGTACTGGATGGCACGTTGAGTGCCAGTAACTTGTTAGGGGTTATCAAACACATACCAGGCTGTAAATCTTGCATGCACACAGAGATGCATGGAGACACGCACGCACACAAACCCACCCTGGGCCAGACTAGACTAGACAGATACCCATGTCCTCTATAAAATCAGGTGGAATTTTTCAGAAACCGGGGGGGGGGCCTATAGAGAAAAAAACAATTGTACTATGAATTCAAAAGATAAAAGTTCAAAAACAATCATCAAACAACACTTTTTTGTTTGGCATAGGCCAATGATGTGATCAGGGATTTTATGGAAAGCACTTGTGCCACCTGGGAGCAGAAGTTATAGAGAAATCAACCTGGGAACAGAATCTATAGAAAGAGACTTGCCTGAAAAGAGCTGGAACATGCATGCATTCTATAACGGAAGCATTTCGTAGAAGCAATCCTGGTCATAAAAGACAGGAACTGGAGTCTTTAGAAAGCAGACGCGTGCAAAGTTCACCGGAACAGTTTACGAGATTCTTTTTTAAAAACCTCTCGGACAGAGCAGTCGCACACTTCTCATGTGGCACAGGTTCCTTCTCGAGAGCTGCCCACTTTTTGTTTCGGTAAGGTGACAGTCCTGTCGAGGTGGCACGACATCAACTTTTTTCTGTTTGATTCTTAATGACCCCTGTTTGAGATTAGATTTTTATAGTACTATAATAAAATCAAAAAAGCACGGGAAGCTTGTTGCAGGTGGACCTGTGCCACCAGATTTTATAGAGTGGCCACTTATTCAGGCATGTATTTATTCACTGTCAGGATTCAGGATTCTATAGCTTGCAAGTATCTACTCCAACCTGTTTTTGCTATAAAATCTGGTCCCCAGCTCCTACCTGAAATTCAGACCCCCAGTCCATTTACCGATCGCTTCGGATCGAGATCGGTTGGGGAGTTGCATCGAGGTCCTTCCTAGCACAGGGCTGCCAGCACAATTTGGCCGCAGGGCCGTTGCAGGAGCAGTCCCTGGAGGCGGCGCCTTTCGTTCGGCGGTGTTGAGACGGCCCAAACGTTTGGGCGAGTCTGGGGCACGGCTGAGCTTCATATTTCATCTTCGTCTTCCTTTTGTTGTGAAGACCAGTCTTCGTGAAGACCTGCTTCCGGGGCATGTGATTTTTGTCGCTGACTGAAGCTCTGAGTCAGAAAATGGGTGTGGTCATACCGGCAGAGCACTTCCGTTCCTGAGGGGATCAAAGGACGGCAAAACGAATGCCTTTGTTCCACCGTTTTGGACCGCGCAATGGCTGATTGCTTGGACGATAATCCGAATCAGCAATTTTCACCGCAAGGACTTTCGACACTGCGAGCTGTTTACGTCTTCCTCCCCAAGAGGTCAAGATCGTCGAACAATGCCTGCCTGGACCGGGTACTATTCTTGTCTTATTGGACTTGAAGCCGCCTGACCCAGACAAAGAACAAGCATGAACAAACACTTCCTGGTTCGCTAGGTGCCTCTGAAGATTCAGGTATCGAGACCTTTGTAGAGAGAGAGAGAGGGAAAGAGAGGGAAGCGGTGCCAGAGGCCCCAAAATATTTGCAATAGCTTAGTTGAATTAGGACTCGTCCATGGTCTCTGAGACAAGGTCATTGAAAGAGGACGAGTTGCTTGGTAGTGGCTCGTGGGGAGGTTGATCTCGTTATTTCTTGTTTGCTCCTTGAAGCCCTTCAAGAAGAACCAGGTATGGCAGGTCAGAGGTCCGACTATACTGCAAGCGCACCCTTCCTTTTTGCCATAGACCTTTCTCCGAACGCATGGGAATCACCTCGAAGGGGAAGGCCCGCTGCTCCAGGTCTGTCAGTTAGCAGGCCGCTGGCGGGTGTCACTGGTTCTTCTCCACCGCGCGGACGGCGCGGACTGCGCGGACGAAGCTAAGGCCGGGACTTTGGGACACTTGGGGGAGACTGGTGCCATACAAAGTAACGGCCTGTGTTCCGGGTGAGGAATGAGATTTGGTATTTTCTTGGGAGGTTGTAAGTTGCAAGTATACTTACAGAAGGGGTGCCCCTTAGGGACGTAAATTATGTTCAAGAACTGCCATGGGAAACTGCTCTTAGAGCGCCCCCTGTTTGTGACGAATCACCGCAGTGGATGGGCTTTCACCATTGGTGGTGACATAGCTGAGGTGCTGAAGGCCTGTGGCAGGTCTGGATGGCAGTACTCCCTGCACGTGCTTCTGAGCCGGGTCCAGGACCGATGCAGCTCCGCTCTGATCGGCTCAGGTGGTGCAGCTCTTGGCCCAAGGAAGGGTCGAGACTGGGGAAATCATAGGCACCAAGGAGGGATCAAATTACAGTAGACCAGTGTGAAGTGTCGCCGCGGAGAGGGTGACGGTTGACATGGGGATGCTTCAAGTGTTCGCACACCATGCGGCTACAAGATGTCCCACGTCGTGCGGCTATAACCATTCGATTCTTTCCCGACCCGCACTGAATGCGCAAGGTCCTAGATCTTCCCGACCTCCTTCGCAGCGCGCCCTGCACGACGGCAGGAATGTCCTCCATCGCGACGGGCAGGAGCCGACGCTGGTCCCAGGCGAGGTCCATTCCGCAAGCCTTGGCCGGTCGCATCCACCATGAGCGATGGAGAGTAGGTAAGGTAGGTAGGTAGAGAGGTAGATAGAGAGAGAGAGAGAATGACGTCGGAGAATCCGCTTGATCTGACTCACGGCGATTTCAGGCTGCCGTCGACCCCTTGGTCGCAGCTCGTGGATTTGGCCTACAGGACCCCAGAGAGGTGCAGACACTTCCTGGCATAGACATGCATCTTCTTTCAAGTCTCTATCAGCCCGATTGCTTGATATGTTTGACAACGGTATAAGCAACATCTATATAGTAGATCTGAGTGGACTTCGACCCAAAGTGAAAAGAGCCATGTAAGTTTTTTCCCCTTCACGATCGATCTCGTACACCAAGCGGTTGACAGGCCAGAGGTGGTGAACGCTGCGCTGCGCGCCTGCGCTGCGGAGGGGAAGTGGAGGCAGGGCAGAAGACCCAGCATCAGAGAGTGACCCTTAGCTATTCCGTGGAATCAGAGGGTTCATGGAATCCCTTTTTGGGGGGACGCGGTGATGGTTTTCTCAGACGCCTTCGCGTCTTTCGAAGGGTCTTCCATGGGTTTTTCCTTCACACAGAGTCATTGGTCCTTGGTGTGTTGGCCCTCAGGGCCTGGGATTGGAAGGGGCCGCAGTTGGGACTTGGGAGTCGAAATAAAGATGGCTATGCCACTATATATCCCACCCATGCAGAATTCAAGGCATTCAATGATTCAAGATCCGCACAGTCGTCAAGACTGACGTTGACAGCGGGATAGCCCAACCTGAAAGGAGCTTAAATCCATGTTTAGCACCCGCCAGTATCCGTATTCAGGAGGCTGGTTTACCGAATGTCTGCATACAAGCTGATCACTA